AAAAGGCTTGAGCTTGATGTCAATCAATCTTTTTCAAGCACGCCATGCAAACGGCTGTGCTACCAAGATTGTAGAGGTGATTGGATGAATGACTGGATTCTCATTTCTGCGAGCTTACTGGTGTTCACATAGGCTTTTTTACTTTTCCCAGATGTCAGTTTTTCTGTTTTTCCCAGGTGTTTCAGTAGGCTATGGGAAGGAATGGGTTACATACTTGGCTGTTTTTCTCAAAATCGATCTTATGAATGGTGCAAATACGCCCTATGACGTCCTTCACCATGGGACTCCTATCAGAAGCCGTTCTTTTGAAATAGAAACGATGTTTTTGAATTTTGCCAACTGTTTGGGACAGCAATGACATAAGTCAGGCTAAACAATATGCGCAAATGTCACATTGAGATGGGGCGAAAGATCCGGGGTGGCCACACAGCTGACGCCATTCGGTTATATGTATATGTACCCCTGCCCTCGGCCTGTTCATATATTGATGCTTTAAATTCTTTGGATATTGATTTTTGTCGAAAAGTAGTAAAAGCAGAGCTTATAGTCGGAAACGTCAATTTTCTCAGTTAGCTACTTTCATTTGAATCATTTTTGAATTTATTTTTAAGAGAGATTTCGAAAAATCTTAGCTGCTAGCCTAATGTGATTCACTGTGAACTATCCTGTGTCATTTGATTGGACAGTAATGATTTCTCCGCTCGATTTATGGCGATTTTTGTTGACAGTTCTTAGAACACAAATAAATAAATAAGTATATAATTCAATATAATGGTCAGTAACTGAAGTCATCACACAAGTCTTTTTCATTTCGCTCCTTGAGAGAATGCGGGCGATGTCGTTCTGGGAATTCACAAGCGTGGAGTAGTTCTTGTTATCGCTGTATAAGGACAACAAGTTTTTACATCTTTTTTGCTTGTTTTTTCCTCTGCTGTCGCCTTCCATTTCGAAATAAACGAGGTGTGAAATATTGAGAGAAGTAGGCGGGGCTTCGCGTCCTTACCTAATAGTTTTACTTTTGATTTCTTGACACTGTCGAATTATTACTATTCACTGTCTTGTCAGCGACTCGTGGAAATAGGAGAGTGGCGTTCCTGAGCTGAAGCTGTTTTGGGACTCTCTTGTTCTTGTTCTTGGAAATCCCCAGTTGATCGCTTGTGTGGTTTCCTCGCTATCTATGGGAGAAAAGGTCTAGGAGCCACCACCTTAGTAATTGCATAAAGAATCGCATGAACCCATCGTCAAAAAATGCGTCCACCACCGGAGTTAGTCGAAAGTTTCTGGTTTCTTGTTCACGGTATACATTCTCAGTATCCGACGGAACTCTGCACACCTAACCCAACCGGCTTCTCGTCGAGGAAATCTTGAGAGGGTCCGACTCCAGGTCTACTGGGCTGGACCCTTAACAACGCTTCTGGTCTACTGGGATGATGGGCGAGGGTAAATCTGTTACCGATTGCCTATCATTACCAAAACCCGCAAAGTTACAGTTTGTTGATTCTAAAGATCGCTTTTGCATGCTGTTCCACAAGCTGTGGTCGTAAGGCCACTGTTTTTATTGCATTCGGCTCGTTGGCGTTGGTATAGCACTTTTTCAAAGCTCGTTTGATTTGATGAATGTGGGGCAAATTGATGAAATGCTTCTTGAAAGTGATCGGAAGGCGCTTATCGGCGTCAAGGAGCTGCCGCTTATCAACTAGACTTTCCGCTCTTGGAAAAAAACCAACTTGTCAGTAGTTTCCGCGGGGAGCCTCGTCAAGCTCATGAATTTTTATGGGGCTCGAAAGGCTAGCGAAGGTTTGGATTCGTCGTCGGTTTTGACCCTAACTGACTTCTTGCCATTGATTTTCTTTGTTTGAGCAGCTATTCGAAGAAAAAGGAAAGTGTCATAATGACGGGAGGCTTAGTTTTCTGAATACCGTAGTCCTTTTACTGTATTACTACCTTACCATTATTGGTGATTTCCCAGTATCTCCTCTTCTTTAATGCGGGATGACGATTAGCTCACGCTTGCCCATACGGAATGAGGCTTATTTGTTTCACTTTAATTTGATGGCATTTTGATTTTCCACGAGGATTGCTTTCAAATTGCATTTTTGAATGTTAATTTTTTAAAGTTTCCAAAGCTTCCCTCAGTCGGGAAGCTCCTCAATTGATTTTTCATCCGCTATGTCCTATGGACCTGTTGATTTCTTCAGTTATTCGACATGACAGATGATGTGGGTGAATCACATCCATCAGGTCCATTCAATGTGCATCCATTTAGAAAGACTCGTCATCGATTTCAGTCTTTTCTTCACTTTTTTCCCATCCCTATAACTGCTAAGTTGCCTCCTGCTTTTTTCCTGAAATACTTTGCCCGTTGTTCACGAATTAGGGTGGAGTTATCGATTGCTCCTCCATGACTGTGGGAGAAATATGGATTGATCCTTTTTGAGAACTAATTTATTTACTTGCTTCGGATTTTGCTTTTTTCGATAATACTATTCTTTAGCAGTTCCCATGGTTTTTTTTTCTGTTTTTCAATATAAGCACGGACGATTTTATGCGCCTGGGAGAAATCTGGGGTACCTTGGGAAACGTAGTGGGGCCAACTTTATGATGAAGATTGGATTAGGTAATTAAAAATTTGCATTTTCTCTGGGATGGACTGACTGTGGTGATAAAATCCTTACATCAACCCTAATCGTACTTTTGACACAGCCCGCAGCCACCCCCTTTCCACCCACAACGTTTTTTTGGTTGTTTGCTTTTTTTGTGGCAGAAAACTTTGCAATACCGTCGAATGTTCTATCCACGCTGTCAGCTGTTCAACCAGGAAAGCAAAGGTCTAACTGCAACTGCGGCTTTGTCAGCTCCCACAAGGGAAAGTTCTTGAACTGGTGATCCTCAAAGAACATCGCCGAACAGTAAAACACCACTTAATTTATCCCAGTATTGTCGCTCGTGTATCGGAAGGTGAAATTCGTTGAAAAATCTTAGGGAGATTTGGAAAAGGCTCTATACAGCTGTCGTTTCATGAGGAGTGTAAACACCTGAGTGAGCTCCAGGTGGTTTCGAAAGAGTTGAACGTAGTTTGTTCCCTGGGCGTACTACGGATTGGTTGAGTTTCACAAGTCACAGCGTATACTTCAATGATTGGATGGATCCCGGCGCTTTTCTTATTGGTGGGTTGTCTAGCTGCATGTATTCCGCCAATAAGAATTGAGTTGGAGCTCACGTCTTGCTGCTAGACAGCCCGCCCATTAAAAACACATTCTCACGTGTGTTTTTTTTTTCTATGAAAAGATGTGGGAAAGGCTAATCACCGTCATTTTCGCCGTAAGACTCATTGTAGAAATTATCATTGGAGATCTACTTTTTCTCTTACTGCTACTTGCATGTGTGCGTTTTGCAGTTTACCGTGTAAGTGTGACGAAACCGGTTGCCGGCTTTTTTCTTTGTTAAAGATCCAGTTGATTTTGAGTTTCCGATGCCATTGATTTCTTCGATTTCCATTGACCATTGGCGGCCGCACTGCGGGCAGCACATTTCCTACAGTTCGCCCAGTCTTGGGCTACCAACCTTCTTCCTTTCCTCCTTTCTCTTTCTCATCTCTATCATTGGTTTACTTGGGAGGATTCATGCGTTATCGTTGTGTATTGGTAACTGGAACCAAGGCTAACTGTAAAGTAATAAATCATATTGTAAAATGACAAATTAGCTGTTGAGCAAGTTATTTTCTGTGATCATCGAAAAAGCTGTAAGTAGGTGTGGCTCACACTGTATAGTTGCGCGCTAATTTTATAGTAGAAGAAGCGCTTCATGTTAAAAGCCTAACAGGATTTCAATAGGTTTAGCCACGTTCTCTTCCTAATTCCCTGCGGCCCCAGCCAGCCCAGATCTCTCCAGGGAAACTCCCACGTAAACAGGTAGCAGGGACATGCATGGGAAGCTTTCGAAAGTGACAGAAGTGAGAATGTTACACCAGTTGGCCAGGACTTCTCAAGGAAGCTTAAAAAATTCACTTCAAACGTGTAATTGGCTAAATCCACCGTCGTAGGGTTGTACAAAGACGAGGGCTGAGCCATAAGTACCCAGACCAGCTAGTCCAACCCATAAAGTGGGACAGTTGCGAATAACCTCAAAGGACTGAGTCTAAATGGTCCATGGTTGCGTACCCTTGCGATTGATTGGAAGTCAACCGCTCAAAACTTTTGCTTCGACTTCTGATCTAACCCAACAGGACGCAACCATGGATTTTCCAGAGCGTTGCGTTTCTGTAGCTTACTACTCCGTGGATTCTTGCTCTCCTCTCTTGAGCTCGCAGATCGTGTTCTGTGTTGCTTACCCATCCAAACAACACCTTTTCAACTCAATGTAATCTCGTACTTCCTTAAATATGGACGAATTTCGATTATGTGTGTTCCCTTTTGAATAATGTCTTCTTTTCCTATTTTCTTTTATTTTATCTCCAAACAATCCATGATTTGTACCAACTGATGGTCGTTTTTTTGTGTAGTTGATCATCATGTTTCGCTCAAAGCCATGATCCACACAGTTCATGATCAGATTGGTTCAACATTACTTCCCTGCAATGAAAATTTGGCTTCTAGAGAGTCGATGCGTAGTGTTTTCATAGCGAAAAACGACTGCAAAAGGGCACATTAAGGGCTCAAAGTTCGACTGCTCTGCCCCTCAATATTGATGAGCGTAAGCGGTGATCTTCGGGTCCTTATTGTTCCGTTTTCACACCGAAATTAGCCTATACAACATCATGTGTGAACACTTTGAGAGCCAAATAGAATTACCAATCTGGTCGTGAAAGGTGCCTTCAATGAGCTGCTTGTTCCTCCGTTGCTCTTCCGATCTGTTTCGTGGCACATTTCGAATCGAATTGAATTTTGCTCAAAGTCTTTTTTTCGTAGAACGAAGCGTTCCTGACAAGGAAAGCTGTTCGGTCGTCGTCGCGACTCACTACTATAGTCGCACCTTCTGCTCTGCTGAAGACTACACTGTCGATGCCTTATTCCACTGGATCAACTGACTCAGGTTATTGCTGTGGTCTCAAATCAAAATACGCCGCTGATGGATCAACAACGACAAGTTCCGATCGTGCGACTAGCAGCATTACCGACGATGAAGAGCCGCTAAGATGGGCTTCACGTCGTGGAACGTCGTTCTCAAGAACCACAAGGGGAAAGTCGCGCCGACTACGCAAAAAGGCGTTGCCGCCAAGTGACACGAGTTCACGTTCAAGCTGCTCAAGCAGTGAATTGAATTCGCTGACCGGTGAAGAGGAACGTCGTCACACGTTATCGCGTGAAGACATTATCAAAAAGATATACTTCTACTTCCAGTCGTTATTAGTAACGATTCGACGTCAGCAAAAGTTCTTCGAGCAAATCGGTGGTCTGATGGCGGACGCAGATGCTCGTTGGGGTGCTGGCGGACTACGCAAAGGTTGGGTGGATCCGGCTGGATGCTTTGCTCCTTATGGTTTTGGGGATCGATCAAAGCCCACTGTCTTCCCGGGATGCTGGGCTGTACCGCATCCAGCGGTACATCTTGCTCTATTGGCATCTAATCTACGCGATTATTTGGAGTTCTTAGGCTGGTGGGTTGAACTTGCTTTTTTTCTTTTAATAATGTTGCAACTGTCATAATCGTAAGCTTAATGAGAGGTTATACCATTTGCATGCAGCTTATCCAACTTAATTCTACAAAAAAAAGTAGTAAATGTGGCTGAAAATGTGGCTTGAACAGTTTTTAGTAAGGAAACTCCATGAAAATGATTTATTGAGCGAGGGGTCGCTTTTTTTATTTTAAAGATGCCAGCCATTGTCTGCGATGAATTTTCATTTGAAGATGTCAGCCATTGTCTGCGATGAATTTCCATTTGAAATTCCTGGAATTTGTAAATAAATATGAAAATAGGCAAGTAAATAATTATCAAATCCTTGGTTGGATGGATTGAGCATCTTCTGTAGGAGTTGCTCAGAAGCGATGTTATAATTTTCTTGGAATTGGGGGCTTTCGATAGTTCTGCGTGTAATTACTGATTAGTTAGTAGTTCAGTATTGCAGTAATTTCAGTAGCTGCAGTACGTACAGGACAGTGGTAATTTTCATCAAATGACAAAGCTGCTCGGCTTTTTTCATTCAAAATTCCCACAAGGTCGACTTTTTGAAAGTGAAGAATGTCACGTTCTGTACAATTTCTCCAAATGGATAACTGAGTATGTTAAGAGACTACAACGTAGTCCCCCAGTTGGAGCTCTGAATCCCAACTGGGTGCGTGCATTCTTGAAATACCAGACTTTTGACGTGCTATGACGCGCGACTGTACGTAGTGTGACGCGCTGTAGCCGACGTCCAACCGTTTTCGATGACTACTGTGCCAGCATGCCGACGACACCAATGGACCGGTTGTTGAGCGCGAAACAGCCACTAAACTAAGCATGCTCCATGTTCCAGTTCAAGGCCTTCAAAATTTGTGTAAGATCGCGAGCAAAGTGTTTGGCTTGGATCGGATCCCCTGGGACGCACCATGCGTTTCTTTTACTAAAAAATCAGTTTTTTTTTCGAATCTGCTAGGGTTCAATTCATACCCGAGAGAACCGAATATGGACTGGATTATTCTTGGCACTGAAAGTAGACTGTCTGCGTGAAACCCTCCTGCTCTGGAATACTCGGTTGCCTCACGCTGAATCCAATCCCAGGGACCGGATTGGGAACTGATTTGGTTCCCCAAGTCAGCCTCTTATCGCCTTAGTTTGAGTTTGATTGATTTCATCCATTCCCTCCTTTTTGGTACCAAACACAGCAGTCCCTAAAATAGCTCTGAACTGGTGATTTATCATTGTCTTAATCTAAAAAACGCTCTGAAATTCTGGGAACACCTGGACGAATGGTAAACTGATGAGTGTAGGTGTTGCAGAGGCGTTTTGCACGCATATGCACGTTACTGTGACCGTTTTTCCAGGTCCAGCCGAATCGTTTAATTGGATGTTTGAGATAAAATTTGTCAAAGAATTCCAAAACATCACTCAGACACCAGCTGAAAATTCGTTCTCTGACTACCTGCAGCAGCCCACCCAGGTAGCGGTGTGTTCAGAAAGACATGTGAACTCATCCAGACTAATTCATCGTTACTTGGTACTTTTTGGTTTGTCATTGCAGGCGTATGTACGAGTTCTCCATTTTTCTGCAGAAAATTCGTCGCCTAGTCATAATTGATGAGATTATTAGAAGTGCAGGGTTTTTAAGGCGACCACCGTGACATCTCCTGAAACCGTTTCTTAGACACCTTTCACAGGTGGTCCATACAGTTCATGCTATCGGGCTATGTAAAACACGCTAGAAACTAGTTAAGATGGGGAAAAGGGCAAAATCCCCGAAAAGGTGAAAACTATGATAAATGGGAAAAGGTCTAAGACGTATGAAGTGTTAAGTGCTCGATGAATTTCCTTGAGTTACACTGTGCACTTGTCTCTCACTCGAAATGGGAGGCAACCTTTTTAAAATGACGACTAGCAAAAGTGCATGCTTTTAATGGTGGTCATTTTAAAAGTGGTTGCTTTTAAAAGCTGCCATTTAAACGACTTCAGAAGACAACCGCCATGACATCTTTTGAAGTTGTTTCTTAAGGATTCATAAAGAACAGATACTTCGTACCCACCATGATAGCGGCCTGTCCAAAATGTGGAAAGATCCATTCAAGAAGTAAAAGAACGTCCAAGTCACTGATGAGCTGATGTATCAAGTGCTGGACGTCATCGAATCTTCCAATGATAGGCTACGCATTCTTTTCTCTAACTCAAAATCGCAAGAAATTGAATGCGTAATCGATCCCCAAAAAGCTTGATGGAAGATTGCCAATGGAAAATTAATCTGGACGAGTTACATTGGACTTGTGCCATGTAACTCGTCCACCCACTCTGCTAAGATTAGAAGGGTTATAAGTCCATGAGGTTGAAGTGAAGCCAACTTGTCAAGTAAAGTTTTCTTTGCTTTATTGACTGTGTCAGTCAAGAACCGGGCAAGAGAAGTGTGGCATCTTTGGCAAATTGTTATTCTTCATTAGCTGTTTGAGTGTTCGTTATCTTTGCGGGACTGGTTCTCGGTGCGACGGAAATGTGTAAGATAAAGTCCCAAAACGGGATTAGGCAACAGAATCACAGTCATAGTCATGGATTGATGGCGATGAGTGTTTGGATTGGGAATATTGGGGATCGAAAAGGATTAGAACGACGGCGAAATTGGTATCACCAACAGAACAGTACACATCCGTTGAGAATCAGAGGCTGTGCTCGCGAGGAGCCACTCCCGCTACTGCCTCTTAGTTTATCAGGAAAGGACGTAGAATAAGTACCATCGTGACGTCACTGATCAGCTCGTTCTCATCAATTGGCTGGACTATGAGGGGCATTTCTCTCAACAACTCTGCGTGGTCCCTAGTGGAATCATAATCCACAGTGGGGTTTATGGAGGCTGAGGTGGACTTATGTGAATTGAATTGGTCATACCATTATATGGGGCCAGAAAAACTGTGGTTGATGACCCTACGGCCAACTGGCTAGTCATGAGATGAGAAGCCCGTGATCCTACTGAGACCGACGTTTCTAAGTACCTGACAAGAACTTGAATGGAGTCAACAATATGGCAGATCAGGCCACTGAATGTGGTACGATCCCGTGATTAAATCTTTGATAGAACCCTGGA